TTTTTGTTTAGTTTTTTTGGAATGTCCAAAGGACCAGATTTAACTTTTTTAGATTACAAGCCAGAAATTGCATTCAATCCCATCTTTCAGGCTCAGTTTCTCTACCAGAGCCTACACTGTTGGAAACCATCTTACAATTGAACCCGGTCCGTAAAGGGCTGATTTCATGGCTTTACAATCTAATGCTTAACATGATGGAGACCTCCTCACCCAAACTCCAAACTTTATGGGAGGAGGATTTGGGCATGACCATTCCAGATGAGACATGGGCTTCTATACTTAAACCTGTTAATACAACATATTTGTGCACGTGCCATTGTCTTATTCAGTTTAAAGTGGTACATAGAGCCCACTTCTCCAAAAGCAAGCTGTCTTGTATCTATCCGGAAATCACCCCATAATGTGACAAATGCAAAACTGCTGAGGCCACACTGGTTCATACTGGTCCTGTCCCAGTCTTGGTCATTTCTGGACAGATGTTTTTAACACCCTGTCCAGGTTCTTGTGGCAGTAACACCTAACCCTCTCCTGGCTCTTTTTGTCATCAGTGATGAAGAGTTGTCTCTATCAGCCTCCAAACGACAGGTGTTGTCTTTTTGTTCCTTGTTAGCGAGGCGTGCGATTCTAATCAGTTGGAGAAGTGTTGCCCCTCCAACTCATAAACAATGGTTATATGAATTTATGTCATGCTTGAAACTAGAAAAAATAAGATATTCTCTTCAGCACTGCACTGGGAAGTTTTTAAAAAATATGGGACCCCTTTCTTGATACATTCCAAAATGTACAATAATGTTTCAGGTGAATTATTTTTTTATTATAATTATTAAAATTTGCTCTCCCTTTTTGTCAGGTGTAAGGATGTAGTGTGCAGACATACGCCAGTGACCTGGATAGGAGTGAATGGGATTATTTTGTAGGGATTATTTTGATGAATTTTTGTTTGTGTATGTTGTTTAAACAGAACATATATATGACTCCTTTATATCCACATATTCCTATTTGTATGTGTAAAGAGAAAAACTTTATTTAAAAAAACAGTGATAAAAAAAAAAATTTAGGACTAAAACAGACTGAAACAAGAAAGGACGGCACAGAAAAATCACCAGTGAACAGAAAAAAGTAGAGTCGATACTGGAGATGTGCTACGAGGAAGAAAGCCGCAGACCAGAGGTAAAGCTTTAAGTAGGTTTAAAAAAAAAATGTCTATGAATTTCAAAATAGTTAACTCAAACAACATGGTTTTAACAGGTCAAACTGGAGGGTTATTGAGGAAAAAGTGTGAGGCAAATATTATGTTTTCCAATAAATTTAGAAATTTAAAACTGAAACTAACACTTGTTTGTATTAAGAGTCCATTCAGGAGGGGTCAACATAAAAGCAGAGTAAAATTAGATAATAATCCTCATTTCCCAGTGGTAGCAGGCTAAGTAAATTTTATAAAAAAAACATTTTCCGCTTTATTTTTAAAGGCAACAGCACTGGCTGTGCAAGAGATGATCCCAGTTATCCCCCATATGTACTCATGTGTTGACAATAATACCAGCATTATGACAGTGATGTGCTGCATGCTGCTAACACAATAAGTAATATGTCTTAGAAGGTGCGTTGTCAGCTCGCTGAAGCCCATTTTAAATGAAACTAAATCAGAAAGAGGGGACGACTGGAACAAAAATTAAATAAAAATGAAGAGGTTTTAAGTGCATGATGCAGAAACAAAGAGGATAAGGTGACAGAACAGGAAAGTGAGGATTAAGGATGGTTATATAACAAAATGCAGCTATTTAAAAGGTAATGCTCCGTCATCTTTTACGTCAGATGATTTAAAATACAGGAAGTGGTTATTTAAACCTCAACAAAATGTGTAAAAACAAAGTGTTCTGCCCCTTTTTAATGAATTTTAACTCGAAACATTGTATTCAGACACAAACATCTTTTGTTTCTGCCTGGCTGTGCACATTCATTCACTCATATTAGATTCAGCTGCAAAGGAGTAAAGAGAATTATAGCAGACGGGTGAAACCCTGTTGATGAATGAGACAGACAGCAATTTTGACAGAAGGCAGCAGCTTTCCCTGCATCATTCAACCTCTGCAACCATTTACACTGACAAAAACACGTAGACTGAGCGCAGCTGAAAAGGAGACTGTCAGGTGGTCTCCAGCACACCTGAGGTTTGGTGTAGGCTGGTGATTGGGTTCATTAAATCATCATTATGATCTCTGTAACAATGTGTGCATTGTGTGCATGCTAATCATGGTAAATTCAAAATAATTGAGAGAACCTGTAGGGCGATGTGGATTAAACTATCACCATGTGGATTTGAGGAAAAGTTCACATTTGAACTGGTTTTAAGATAAAACTATCAAAAGTCCTGACAAAAACTTGAGAATTTAACTAAATGTCCTTGTTCAAACAGAAAATGACCCCTATTTTAATTTATGGAAGCAGATTACTGAAACTCATTAAGCATCTATGACATAGTGGCAGAAGTAACACAACCAGTAGTTAGAGGTTACTGAGGTTCTTGTCTCACTGGATAAAATCCCACCAACTCCCACTAACAGCCGACTACTGATTTCAGAGTCAGAGTTGGGTTTCAGCACTGGATCAAATGGCAGAAGTCACAATAATTATCAGCTCCAGCTCCTTTTGGTACAGGGCAGATGGTTGAACAGACTAATTTTCCCTAATGTAATTCTGCATTAAGAGCTGCACGAGTGGTTATGAAGCAGGTTTTAAAAACGTTTGGCCAGCAGCTAAACCTCTGTGATGGGTTAGCTCTCAAAATCTAACTGGTAATTAACAATAAAAAAATGCAAGTTCACTTGAGCTTGGGCAAATGAAAAGTAGCCTACCGGTATTACTCCTCTTGCAGGAGTCTGCAGTGTTGTCCCTACAAGCAACTATTGTAATTCAAAACCAGTGCAGGCTGGTGCATGAAGGGCATGGTTATCATATCCATTTATATTTTAACATTTGCATTTTGTGACTTACAAAACACTTTCATTCACACTGAATATGCTGCAATTGTTGTACTTTAGAGCGCAAAATTGACTGTTCTAAGTGCATTCTTGCACAACTTGGTACAGAAAATGCAATCCAGATTACCAAGAAGACACAATGCAAAAATTGCTGTGGATCTTAGTGGTTCTTTTCCAGAACATACAGTAAGTGTATGTGTTGGAAGGGTGTACCTTGGTGACATTTTCTTTGGAAACATCCTTCCAACGTTTGAAAAAATGTCAAGAAGCAGGTAGAAACCAACATCCAGGCCAGCAAAAAAAAAAACAGAAAACAACAATCAACCATAGAATGAATATCTGCTTATTAATTGTACGTAAATACTCTGGAAGGTTATCTGCTTCCATCTCTCAACCAGAGATAATCCAGTTTTTTTTAGAAGGCTTAAGGTTGCTTTATGTTTTTGCAAACACAACGAAGAGCTCCTGGGGAAGCTTCTCCAGCTGCAGTATACATAACGGCACATGTTTCTTCCCACCAGGGTCTCCACTTCATCCCTGCATCCGACGCTTAGCCACAAATCTGTCATGAGGAGAGCACCACACTTTTCTGCAGACGGACTCCTCCATGCACATCTGTGCAATCTCCATCCAGGAGTTTTGGGCCATAAAACATATTTTCTAATATCTTGTAGTCATACAGTATTTCTGACTTCCTCAAGCTGTTGCTTGCACGCACATCTGGCTTCTGGAAGCAGAGCAGTTCATACAAAATGAGAGCATTGCTGTCCGAGCACTTTCCACATAAACAAACACACTCACCATCTTCTGACCAATCACACAATACTTTTTGTATACTCCAGTGAGGAAAAGGATCAACATGGGCCTTGTGTCGAAGGGGTGGACGAAGCTACTCTGAGAACAAAATGATGCGATTTTTGTCACGCACCTACGACAATGAGAACTGATTTTTCGGCTTTGTGTGGAATATGAAACAACCTTTAGTGGAAAGCTTTACACTGGGTCCTGAACTAATTTTATAAAGAATAGCTTCCTGCATCCTCCTAAAACCATGCTGTTAGCTATTGTTCGTTGTTGCGTCCTTTCTTGTGCGCTAATTTACCGTTTAATATTGATCCAGTAACAGGCTATCTTTAATTACCCTTGCAGAACATCAATGTAGTGAATTTAAAATGCTAAGAAACACTAAATGTAACACATTTTATAATAAGACAATGTAAGCTGCAAAGAAAAAGTGCAGCTACTGATGCAGGAGGCTTCGTTTTTACTTGTGAACACATAAGGAGCTGAAAACTGCATTCAGTGATGGAAGGACAATTTGATAAAAGCGATCCTGGCATTGGTGTGCCTGTGCGATTGAGCTTATATACTCTATGCAGGAACTCAACCGAGAGGAACAAAATGACCAAAGAGTTCATGCAGCGTCACAATGATTCTCCACATAACGAAAGGCAATAGCGTGGATAACCGTACCCCTATAAAAAAATTAATTCTAGTCCTCTGCTCCTTCAGCATTTTGAGCCAAGTGCCAAGTTATGGCTCTTTCAGTGAGATTCGCTGCAGAGAGCATAACGGCAGGTAAAAGACTAGAAAGGGGACTGGTTTGAGAGACAGAGCGTCAAGGTTAATGAGACAAAGACTAATTTTTCATTTTGTACGGTGCATAAAACGACTAGACTGTAAAACTTGTAAAATGTGTTAAAACCAGTCAAATCTAAACATCAGTTAGTCAAAACGGTCAGTTCTGGAAGAGAATTGAATGAATCAATGTGCCGTTTCTAACTCCTTAGACCCAGGAAATGATGCATTGTATAAGAATGTGTCTGAGAGGAGCTCATGGTTAGTGATTATGATGGATTAAAGAAGTTTTGTTCACTGTGGTACAAAACCACATAAAACTTCCTCGGAAACTTAAAACTGATTCCTGTATATTTTAATTTTTTGTAATTGAATGTTTCATCCACAACATGACCAAAACCTGAATTTGTAATAACTGTGGCATTCCTGTGATCATTTCAGAGGAAGAGCAGAAGGAAAAGGGAGAGGAAGAGGAGCCACTGACGAAAAAGGATGAAGAGGAGCGGCGCATAGCAGAAATGGGCCGCCCCATGCTGGGTGATCATGTCAAACTGGAGGTCATTATTGAGGAATCGTATGAGTTCAAGGTAAGGGGCATTGTTGTTGTTTTATGGACAGATTAGAGACTGAAGAGATGATTTTAAGAATCAGGACCACCGTTTGGATGAACTTTCTGTGTAGGTGTTTAAGTATGCAAGGTTTATTCAAGGTTCAAGATTCTTATCATTCACACATGTGGCATATGAGGTGGAATGAAATTGTGTACACAAGGCCCCAATTACACCCCAAAATAGCCAAAATATGAAGTATAAAATGAAATGGTTTATAAGGATCTGAGATAAACATGTAAAATAATATGGTATATTAAACAGCAGCCCGAACATGAGTCTGTAGTGAGTAGATGAATATGAATGAATAGTACAGCAGCATACGATCAGCAGCATGAGATAATCAGCAGCATGAGATCAGCAGCATGGATAATCAGCAGCAAAGATGAGTCACATCACCAATTAAAGTGGCATTACGGGGATTTTTCTTTGTTTGTTTTCCTTACAGTGATTTTTCTGGTTAAGTATTCATGAGTCCAACAACTTCAGGGTAGAAGCTGTTCCTCAGTCTAGTGGTTCTACACTTAATGCTCCGCAACTTCCTGCCTGAGGGGAGCGGGGCAAAAAGTGTGTGTGCTATTCAATAATGTGATGAGCGCAATATAATTAACATTTTATTGTGACGACAGAACGCATAAACTGCCTCAAATTCTTTAACCTTTAATGCATGTGTCCCCCCCCCCCAATTAAAATCTAGACTGTGATGCACATTTAATGGGAAAACTGATAAAACCCCCTTTTTTTTTTTTTTTTGATACGTTTAGGAAGGAGTTACATAACCCCTGCATCTTTTCTTCGCTGTTCTTCTCCCACTCACTCTTAAGACGGGCTTAGATGTAATTACCGTCCGTGTTACTTTTGTGTACTAATGCATGTTTTTTTTTCCTGCCGTCGCTCCACCTACGTTCTTCACTCGAGACGAACAATTAATAACCTCCAGTAATAGCATGCCACTTGACAGGATACCATACTTCGTCAAAGGCTTCAGTGCATGAAATTATACTTTTGTGAGTGTCTGTATGAAATGGCCCCACAGATATCTAAGTACCTAAGTATCCAAGGGTAAGGCCCTTTGGAAGACATGAAAGTGTTGTTTGACAGCAGATGACAAGAAATGGGCAAGAACAGGTTGAAATGAGAAGTGTGAAGAGTTTACTTTAAGATTGAAAAGTCTACATAGAAAAGGGAAAAACATTTTGGATAAAGTAAATCATTTTGACAACTGATGGTAGTGCTTGTTGTAAAAGGAATGTCGAAACAAAAAAAATCATTACAAAATACATGATGTGACAAAAAAGGACAAATTGTGGTTCCATTAAACTGTCGTCTTTGATTTAACTTTGTTTTTTGTTTTTTTAACTTGTCCAAATGGAAACTTTTTTTTCCACAAACAATTTGAAATCAACCCAAAATGCTATAATAACAGTAATTGTGCTACGCCTATATGTGGCACTGTAAGGCTGCCATAAAAATACACCAAAAACAAGAAACCCGGTGCGGAGTACAAATATAAAAGCTTACCATACCATACCATTTTATTTATAAAGCACTTTAAACAGCGACAGGGCCAACCAAAGTGCTGTACAAACAGAAACAAGCAGGCAAAGCACACGACAACATATAACGTAAAATCAAAATATAGAAACAAAATAATAGCAGAAAATAACATAATGACTAACACAGTGTGATGCATACAGGGTCAACACAAATCATACATTGTTGAAAGCCAGGGAGTAGTAGTGGGTTTTTAAGTGGGATTTAAAAACTGTGAGGGAGGGGGCCTGCCTGACAAGCAGAGGTAACTCGTTCCAAAGTCTTGGGCCTGCGACAGAGAAGGCCCTGTCACCTCTGCGCTTAAGACGGGTTCCTGAAACTGAAACAACTGGTTTGCTGACCTCGGAGAACGCAGTGGGACATACGGCTGCAGCAGATCAGTGAGATAGGAGGGTGCAGAGCTGTTCAGTGATTTATAGGCATACAGGAGTATTTTGAACTGGATTCTAAGGTGAACTGGTAGCCAGTGCAGGGAGGCCAAAACAGGTATAATGTGCTCTCTTTTGCCTGTACTGGTTAAAAATCTGTCTGCCGCATTTTGGACCAGTTGCAGTCGTGCAATGGAGGTCTGACTGATACCAAACGGGAGCGAGTTGCAGTAATCGAGCCTGGATGTTATGAATGCATGTATTACTGTCCCCAGGTTATTTTTGGACAATATGGGTTTCATTTTAGACAGCCGCCTCAGCTGGAAAAAACAGGATTTAACAATCATGTTTACATGATTAAGTTTCAAGGAAGGGTCCATTATCACTCCCAGATTAGTGACTCTTTGTTGCTCTAACGGGGCTACAGCAGAGAAGTCGATGCAGTGGTTAACGATTGTGTCGTTGGGAGGAAACGGCATGACTTCAGACTTCTTCTCATTGAAACTTAAGAAGTTTAAAGCCATCCAGTCTCTGATGTCAGCCAGGCAGTCAAGCAGAGGGTGAATAGAGCATGTACCATTGTGTCTTAGGGGGAAATAAATTTGACAGTCATCAGCATATAAGTGGAAGGGTTTGCTGTTTCCAAAAAATAGCACCTAGTGGCAGCAGCTATAAAGAAAATAGAAGGGGATCGAGGATGGACCCCTGTGGTACCCCCCCATTTAAGCACTGCCGATGCTGAACTAAAATATTAAAATATTAAAATTTTCTTTTGAAGAATCACTGCTTTTACACTTAGTCATTTCAAGTTTAATGCTAGATGGAAAGTTGGCCCAATGTCTACTGTAATGACACTACACATCTGGAGTGACAAATGTGTGCATTAATTGTTTTAATTTTAATAATTTTTATTTTATTTTGACAGACCTCATAATGTCTCTTGGCAGTTTCTTGCTGTTGAATAACATTTCCTTTGACAAAGCTGAGCATAGGTGCCCACCCTTCTTGAGCACCCCTAAATTTTAACTCAGCATCTCTGAAAAATTAAGAAACCATCATTAGGATTTTGTACAAAAACAGTTCTCAAACCTTAAAATCACCAAAAATATTGAATAAATGTTTAATAAATATGGAATAAATGACAACAGTCTCAAACGGGTCAGTAAAATCTAAAATTTATTTGCATGAGTCCATAGGTGTTGCAACCATTATATGTGAAGGGGACAAGTCCCCCCCACATTAAAAAAAAAAACATTCATTTGGACCCCCCCACTTTTACTATAAAACATTAGTTCAGGCGGCGCAGTTTCTCTTTCTTCGTGAACAAATCCATTCCACTTGATTAATAGGGTAATACTCTGGCCACTAAAACTCCACTCCAGGTTTTCCTGGTTACCTCCAACTCGCCACCGTTCCTTCCTGCCTCTTGCCTCGACAGAAAACGCGCACAGGTGGAGGAGGTGGAGGTACCTGTGTTGCTCGCCAGTTTAGCAGCTTAGTGCAGGCAGTGGTTGACCAGGAGGTTGATCATAAACCTATATTCATGTTAGGAGGATGCTTGAGAGGAGCTACGTCTGTAGCATTTTAGCTTAGCAGTAACTGTGACGCTGTCAGACGCTGCAGGTGTAAGAGACGTGGTGTGTTCAGGTGCATTAAAGTTGAAATGTCTTTAAAACCCCACACCTTATTGTCCTCAAGCTTCATGAGAAACATCATTTAGATGAGTAGTGTTGAACACAAGTTAAAAAAAAAAGTCCAGTGGTGATGTTTAATTTCTCTATAAAGACAAATAGTGCCTATCTGACGTTCTGCATTAAAGCGTAATAAAGTTAAAATGTCTTTAAAACCCACAGCTGAATTTACACAAACTTGGTGAGAAACATGTTTTAAATGTGTGGAATTAAAGGAAATCTAGGTGAAATGCTTCTTTTTTGTTCACTAGTGAACACCTTTTTTTACATGCACGCACGCGCACACACGTGCACGCACACACGTGCACGCACACACCTACACACATCATTGTGTCCCCCCCACATTATGGATGCTTCTAACGCCCTTGCACGAGTCACACCACCTGTCAATCCATCCAGTAGGCACGTCAGCAACTGACCAGTGAGCGACATCAATTTGTCCTGAAGTGAACGCCCCTTACCTGCAGAGCTGCAGCTTTGCAGTCAGAGATTTCAATAATAACAGTTTACATCTTTTTTTCATGTTAATCTACTGTAATAAACCTTTGTAAAATACACAAGACTGCAGGAAATGACATCTACTTTATTCAAAATTCTCTGGGGGAGGACTCCCAGACACCCACACCCACCCCCACCCCCAAGCACCACCACCAACACTAACACAGCATGTTCTGTAATGTTCTTTATACAGATTGGAATGTTAAATAACTGTATAATAAATAAATGGACTTTACCTAAAGAATTATTTGCATTTCATGTATTATTGCATTTGGCCCGCAGCCCTCTGATAGATTTTAAATTTGGCCCTTTCAGAGAAAAACTTGGGCACCCCGATTCTAGATGGCCACCTACTTGTTTCGAGTGTTATTACTTTTACTAACTGATTATGTTGACACACATCTAAAAATAACTTGTTCTGTTGTTTAAATATCCATAATCAATATACAACAACAAAAATACAATAAAAAGGTAAAGATGTACAAGTAAGAAGAGAGAATGGTAAATTAAATGCGTACCTGCATCAAATGTTTGACTGTGTGTTTTTGGTGTATAATAGTGACAGAAAGCTACAATTGTAGCGTTCAAAACTTTTATCTAGATACAAGTGTTTGTTTTTGTTTGGTGTTTTATTTTTTTAACCAGTTCAGTTATATAAAACCTAAAAGAAGCCCAAAAAACAACAAGACGGGACAAGACTGCATTCCAAAAACCTATTTAATTGTGGTTTACCAGACACTCTGTATTCAACAGGCAGAGTAAAGCTGGTTGTGAATCTGAGTCCACAAGCACAGAGAGGCACTATTTACATCCCTGAGCTCCATTCAACACAATTAGCATCCCCTTTTCTCTCTGAAGTGCACAGAAAAGAGTTCAATCCCCACTGCTCCACTGATTAGTGGTGCGAGTGTGGTGTGTGTAAGCAAGCTGTTTTGTACAGCCCTCGTCTGTTTCTTTTAAAGAATAAAATAGATTAAATCAAAAGATTCAAGAAAAAAAAGTCAAGTGTAACCGTGCAAAACTGTTACTTGTTGCTTACTGCATCGTTTTATAAACAAGTCAAGTTTGATGTGAAAATCAGAGCCATTCCAGAGATATCAAAATTGTCAATTTGTGGACTTCAAGGTTCTGAACATGTAACTTATTGTGCCAGCAATGGCTCTAAAGAATGACAAACATTTAGAGGAAACTAAGGGATTTGGAAAATGAGAGCTTATTTTCAAAGTTCATGCTCAAAAATCCAAATAGAAAATCCAACAAATATCAATCAGGTCATCTGGACAGTTTCTTTTTCTTTTATGTTGAGACGTTTCATCCTTCATCCAAAGGACTTCATCAGTCTGAGGAGCCACATTAAACTCAGTCCCACAAGCAGGAGCACACGCCCATACTGGGCCAAGCAGTTTGCTGGTGATAAAATGGCTTCTGGGACCCACCCTCTTCCCCTTCGACGACTCTGAGGTGGCCATAGCCAAAGTGGTTCAAAACATCAAAGTCCATGCTCAATAGCCCAGGTAGAAAAGCCAACAAAGTTCAATCAGGTCATCTAGACAGTTTATTTTTTTGTTGTTGAGATGTTTCGTCCTTCATCCAAAGGACTTCATCAGTCCGAGGAGCCACAACAAACTCAGTCCCACAAGCAACACATCCACATAGTGGACCAACCATTTTGCTGGTGATGAGATGGTTTCTGGGGCCCGCCCTCTCCCCCACTGATTTTGAATGGACAACAAAATATTTATTTATTATATTATATTATCTAAAAAAGTTAAATCTGGTCCTCTGGACATTCAAATTGGTTTTTTTTTTAATGTCCAGAGGACCAGATTTAACTTTTTTAGATTTTTCTACCTGGATTATTGAGCATGC